ACCCGTGTTTTTTCCTCCTAATAAATTCAGCTCTCGGCAATAAAAACACTGGCGTGCTCTTTTCGTGTACACGGCAATGCTCTTCAGGCCTACTGCCCGTGCTTTGGCCTCAGCTCAACCGAATGACCCTCCAAATGCCCCAAAACTCGTGCTTAGCCTTTTCTTTGACGTCTGGGACCTGAAATATGACAAAGTAGCACAACCCGACGTAAAATAGGCAAAAAAAAATACGCAAACGGATAAGAACTAGGGGTGCAAACATGTGTAATCAATGGTCTATCAGACGCCCAAGTGTGCCCGTCACTGGCGGCACTTGAAGATGGAAAAGAAATACGACGCTTTTTTTTTGTCATAGATAGATCGTAATAGATAGAGTTTTACAATGCAGTAAAAATAAAAGAGTGGTAGTCAACCAAAAGGGTTCCTACCGATGCAAGGGCCGTTTATGCCACGCAATGGGCAGCCCTGTTAGTATGCCTAGAAACATAAAAAAACGAATAAACGCAAAAGAAGTCTTCTTCCGGCAAACTTCTTGAAGAACCTTCTATCAGCCAATTTATGACGAGCACAAACCTGCAATCAACATCCAACAAATGTACCAAACACAAGTGTATAATTAAATATATCATTGAGTAAGAATTAAAAGTCGTAAACTGAACGTGGTTATGAACCACATGTGGAATTTTGACCGCATATCCGTCGTAATTGTAATTGTCCTGTACTTGTAACTGTCAGAATCGTTCTCCATCTAGGATTGAAGGCTCCAATTTGTAACTGCCACCAGAATTTGGATGCCGGAATTGAAAGTGTGAAGAGGAAACATAATCGTCATTGCTATGCACTAGTCCTCCAAATTGCCAACCATTGTGTCGCTGTATCAACAGTTCTGGCATTGATGAAGCCTGCAAAATGAACAAACGAAATATGGCCACTCAATGGCACTCAATATCTCCCTGAAAACGGAGTCAATGAGGCCCATAACTCATAAGCCACTGGCTATAATCCGAATAACAAAACAGAGTAGTATGTAAACGCGTCAAGGAGGGGTAGACCAGATCCGCTGACTGAGTATGAACTGGAAGGTCGCCAAAAAGAGGGAAATCGAAGAAACCGTCCAGTTAAAAGAAGGCCTCAGATCTGCCACAATAACTGATTGTGAACCCGCTGCCCACCGGTCGGCTACACCTTCCTCCATTCCGATTGCTCCTTGCATTGGGGGTGGATCCTTCTGAAATGCAGATGACTGACGCCCTCCCCGTCGCTTCAGGATTGTCTTCGTGTTCCTTCGCTACACCATGTGCCTGTGTATTCTTGTCTTCAAGTGCATCTGCGCCTGCGGAAGAAGAAGAAGACCGTCGCGACTCTGTTTCCTCTCTCGGCTTGATCTAGGCAACCATCGCCGCCTGCCTCGCCTAGGCCGGATTCCATTGATGGGAACCGACGGATGCAAAGAAACTGTCCACCACCTGTCACCGCCGCATCTCCAAAGCCGCTGCAGTTGGCAAACCAAACCCACCGCTCCAACCGACGACCCGCGCCACTGCCGCCTCCAGCGTCGCGTTCGTAGCTGCTACTCTCCCTCCGGCTCTGCCTTCGTTCATTCGTGTAACTGCTCCCGTAAACAAGGGCTCGAGAGCGGAGTTTTTCTAACCTCCTGGGTAAAAAAAGTTGGGCAGTTGAGGTAACAAAGAAATAAGACTAGAGGTGGCAAATGGATTGATCCATGGATTGGTGGATTGGATTGGTGGATTTATGGATTGGATCAAGTGGATTGGTGGATTATCCATGAATCCAAATGACATCCTCAACCAAGGACCAATATGTAACATGTGAAAAGTTTAGGTACTAAAATGTCATAATGAAAAATTTTAGGTACCAAAACGTAATTTTTCAATGATATTTTTCGTATAAAAATTAAATTTTGGTTACCAAAATGTAAAATATAAAAAGTATAAGTACCAAACTATAATTTGCCATTTGGATCCATGGATCAATCCATGAATCCACCAATCTAATTGGATTTGGACAAGGTTGTCAAACTGGGGTCGAACCGCGTCTGGCCGGAACCGGGCACTAAAAGGGCCAGGGCCATCCTTAATTTGAATTAGCCGGTAGCCGGTCAAGACCGGTTAAAATCGGTCAAAACTGGGGTCTGATCGGACTTATCCGGCTACCGGCCATGAGGAAGTGACGTCGTTTGGCCTGTTCTAGAGCTTCTTCTGAAATCTGAATTGAATCCTGAACCCTAGGCCTAGCAAAACTATCGCATCCCTTCCTTTTCTTCCTCTGCCGAGCAGCAGCCAGCAGAGCCCTCGCCCGCGGCCACAACCAGCGCAGCCGCCGCCGCTCCCTCGTTTCGACCCAACTTCCTGCCGCACGTCTCACCGCCGCTCATTCGCCCCCTCGTCTCAACCCAGGTCCCCAACTCCTCGCCGCCGCTCCCCGTCCGACGCATCGACCCAACTCCCCGCCGCCTCGACAGCAGTCCCGCCCCTGCCTCAATACTAGCTTAGATCGTTTCAGGTGGGTGCTTAATTAGGTTTCTATTGTGTAGTTTCAGAATTGGAAAAGCACATCTTGGTTCTGTTTCCATTTTCAGTTTCCACAATGAAATCGAGCATTGGTTGTTGTTAGATAGAGAGAGTGGGGGAGAAAGAAAGAAAGAGCATTGACGTTTGTTTGTTAATTAGGAGTTAGTAAGGAATGCAGCAGGTTAATTTGGTTGATGGAATTGATGATACTTTGTTATTTTGTTAATTATTTACTTGTTTTACCGGTTGATAGATAGAATCGAGTAATGTATCAAGTCAGCTGGCTTAATCCGGTTGAACCCCGATTCGACCATTAAACCTCAAACCCCTTGTTAAACCGGTTAGAGGACTTAATCCGGTTTGACAACCTTGGATTTGGATCAAATGGATTGGATTGAGAATTGTCACCTCTGAATACGACGCTTTGAGAGAAAGGGAAGAGAAATATGTTTTTTAATGAGAAATTCTTAATCCAATTAGAGAAATATAATACTTAAATAATCCAAATAATCTAAAAATTATAACTAAATACGAATAATTAAACAAGATAAGAACACCAAAAATTTCGATTAGTCATGTTGGCGCGCGCACATGACAAATCAATACAAGTTATTAAGAGTTAGAGAAAATAATATATGCTCACAAAAATTAGAGATTTAAAATTGAAATAAACTGTAGGAAGAACTAATTGGTCTTTAAAAAATCATTTTTTAAAAGCTTTGGACCAGCGGAAACTCTAAGTTCAATTTAATTCTTTTATATCTTCATACATTTTTTTAATATACTTTCATTACGTAATATCAAGGATTGTAACATTATATTGGAGGTTGTACCAAAAAAGTCAGCAGTATCCTATTTTATGTTGAAGTCGTTATTCAACTGTTTCATACCACTAATAACCGTCTATCGAGTTAGATACGATAAAATGTTTTCTAAATCGAACTTCCGGAAAGACACAATTTTACAAAACCGACATATTACTAACAATTAATTTAGTAATCATTCATACATATTTTAGCAAATAAAAATGATCTCAGATATGATTGAACTTTTGACTAGGGGAGCTAAATGGTATTGTGGTTTAACGGTTTAACCGCAACAAAACGGTAGTCGGCAGCGAATTGGTGGCAGGCGGTTTACCGAGAGAGGAACGGTAAATTACCGTCGGCAACTCGGTTTCCCGACACCGAATGGGAAAGGCATCCATTGACAACCATATTCCAAACTCCAAAAGCCGTCAGCCGACCCTAACTCCCTAAAACCTAGTTGTAATTAGTAATTAGTAAATCGAATCAAGTCTCCCTCTCCCCTGCTTGCTACACGAGCACGCACGACGCGTCACGCCGCCGATCCCTCCATTCATCGAAACCGACGCCCTTCGCTGTTGCCCTGTTTACGTCGACCCCGCTTTGCCGTTTCCCTGTAGACACCCTTCGCCGTTCCCTGTTTCCGTCGAACCCCGTCGCCGTCGAAGATTAATTGCTCGACCCTGCTAGGACCTGAACCCAGCAGACAGCAGTTCATACTTTGTCCTCTCCTATACGTCGATTTGAAGTGTTTGGGGTAACTTAATGTAGATTACTTGATTTAGTGATTTGTTAATTGATTCATTATTTCATAATTCATAGGTATAGCCGAAGCCGAGTTGTTTGTTTGTTTGTGTATGTCTGTGTCGTAGCTCGTAGGCTTGTAGAGAGGCAGAAGAAAGTTTATTTTTAGTTCTTAGTTCTTACTTCACAAATGAAATTATTAAATTAATCAACAAATGAATAATTATGGGACAATTTATCACCAAGAATTATTAAAACAACAATCTGCAGACTGCAGCAGTCACTCAGTCACCGAGAATTCGGCCATTCGGGAAACCTTTTGACAGTGAATGACCATTATCCTCCATTTGCTGTTTCCCTCTTGCAAGCAAAGGCGTAATACCAATACAACAATACCCGCCAGCCAGCCGCCCCTAAAGGTCTCGACTGACTACCTCATCATAAGGATTAAGGAGGCAGCACTGCAGTACGTACGTTACGTAGGTCTATGTTGGTGAGAAGAGCAAGTTGGGTAAGTGGAGAGAAGTTTGGATTTGAGGCCATCCTGCTCGATCTGGTGGCCGGAGTAACAAAAGTTGATTTACCACCATAAGAGAATGATAAGTAAATGGGCAACCCACCCACTTGTTGTAACGAATGAAATGCCACTAACATGTTCTTTTTTCTTCTCTTTACAATCGACCCAGATAGATACAGCCTTCAGTATTATCTCTTCCACCAATGCCAAATCAAGACACTTACAGAAATATCTATTGCCTAGTCAGCCACACAAATTTGAAGCATACCAAACAAAAATCTTTGTCCTTCATTGCATCATGCAAAAGAACTCATTAATTTAACCAGCACAAAAGAACTTATTAAATATACATATATATGTTTTTGGTGCTCCTATAAATAGATAGAAGTTGGTGTAGTGACTTATCATTCTCTCCACAACCATCTCATTCCTCTCCCCCCTCCCCAAAGGTGGGTGCTACACACTCCATTTCATCCATGGAGATTGTTACAGAGTCATCAATATCCCACCCAGAGAAACTGTGGGGGCATGTCCGTCGGCGATGCAGCTTGTTCAAGGATAAGATGATCAAGTTTGGAAAAGGGATGGTGAAGATTGGGAAAGATGATCCTAGAAAGGTCTTTCACTCCCTTAAAGTTGGACTCTCACTCACTTTGGTTTCCTTACTATACTACGCTAGGCCGCTGTATGATGGTTTCGGGGCTGCTGGGATGTGGGCTGTGCTTACAGTTGTGGTGCTCTCTGAGTTCACAGTTGGTGAGTTTTTGCAGCTTCTGTTCATTTCTTGTGTCACAAGTTACGGAAGTATGCATTTAGATACCGACTCGTTTTCTCTTTGCCTAGGTGGGACTTTGTGCAAAGGGTTGAACAGAGGTTTTGCAACACTATCTGCTGGTGCTCTAGGACTTGGAGCTCAGCAATTGGCTGCTCTATTTGGAGACCAGGGAGAGCCCATTGTGCTTGGAATCCTTGTTTTTTTGTTAGGTATGCATTTCAAACAAAAAAGGAAGCAACTCACTGTAATGGATTCAAAATTAAGCCAAATAATTTTTACCTACTTTTGCGGCATGCAGCTTCAACCTCGACATTCATGCGATTCTTTCCAAGGATCAAGGCGAGATACGACTATGGAGTCATGATCTTCATCTTGACATTCGCCTTGGTATCGGTATCAGGTTACCGGGTTGATGAGCTTTTGACTTTGGCACAGCAGAGACTGACAACCATCATAATAGGGGTGGCAACATGCATGGTTGTGTCCATTTTCATTTGCCCTGTATGGGCTGGTGAAGATCTTCACAACTTGGTTGCTTCTAATATCGAAAAGCTCGGATGCTACCTCGAAGGTATATATGAATGAATTTGGTTCATTTCAGAAACTCAGCTTTCATTTTTCCCAGCTGTGTTACTTACATTGGAAGGAACTCTTTTGTGACAGGATTTCCAGTTGAGTATTTCCAGTCCCCTGGAGATGGAGAAAATGATGTTGCTGGCAAAGCCAAGCCATGTCTACAAGGATACAAAAGTGTTCTCACTTCCAAGTCCACTGAAGAAACCCTGGTAAAGTTTCCTACAACTTCTTGAAAAGATTTCTCTTACTGTCGAATTATATTCCTTTCTTGGCTTTACTGATAACATGGTTCCCTAATCTTGCAGGCAAATCTTGCAAGATGGGAGCCGAGACACGGCCAGTTTAAATTGAAGCATCCATGGAATCAATACTTGAAGACTGCAGCTTTGGCACGACATTGTGCTTACCAGATTGAAGCTCTTAATGGCTACATTCACTCTGGTTTCAAAGTAAGAACTTGAAAAAGCCTTGGTTTTTCTGCCAATCCTTTTGATTCGACAATTAGTGACAACAACATAAAACCAATAGATATTCCCCCCTGATGGATTCAATTATGATATTCCATTGACAGCTGAAAATCAGTCAAGATGATGACTTCTTTGTTTTGTTCTACTTTCCCTTTTTCACTTTTCCAACTATATTAAATCACCTCCTTCTACTTCAGTCATCCATAGTGTTTTGATGAAACAAATCACCAAAACACAGCAGCCTCTGAAAAAGGTTACTTTCTATTCAGCGAATGACGGAAAAAGAAAGCTCCTTTGTTGTTACTAACCTATCAAATCTTTGCTTGATGCTCCTTTTAAAGGCGCCAAAAGAGTTCCAGAACAAGACAAAGGAAATATGCACAAGGATGAGTGAAGAATCAGGAATGGCACTGAGATTATTGGCTACTTCTATGAAATCGATGACTGATCCTTCTCCAGCAGTTGTTCATGTCGAGAGCTCAAAATCCGCCATGAAAGAGCTTAAACTAGTCCTGAAATCTGTCTCAGTAAATCAAGCAGATTTCCTGGCCATGATACCAACTGCAACCGTTGCATCGATACTAGTCGAGACAGTCAAGGCTGTAGAGAAGCTAACTGAATCAGTTCATGAACTTGCTAGTCTTGCCAGCTTCAAAAGCTTGAAGACAGCTACAGTGTCTCCAGAGAAACAGGCACCACAATTGCTCCACCGTGGAAGTATAAAGCCGGTTTTGGATGGCGTTGATAGGGATCATGTTGTAATAACTGTACTTGAATGTCCCGCAGAAACTGAGAAGCCTCAGCCAGTAAATGGTGAAGGTGTAAAACGTTCAGAAGTGAATATTTCTTGTAAACAAATTCTGTCTGCTGATTCCTTTTTTAGTCGGTGTAGGACAAGGGTTTAAGGCAGGAAAAGTGAAAAGTATTGTTTTGCCCTTATCTTGCCAATGTTTGGTGGTGGTGGCTACTGTTAACCTGTATTTAACACTTTATGGAGAAAAGCTCTCATAAGCTTTCAAAAGGTTTTTTGAAAGAAACAAATATAAGTGCTCTTGTCACATATGCTCTTTTTACCTTCTTGATGATGGAGCACTAGAAAGCTAAATTTCACAGCATAAACCTCAGATCACATACAATAAACAAAGAAAGAAAGAAAGAAAGAAAGACAAGTTTAATCCTAAAGTGGACTATGATCCAAAGCAAATCCCATTCTCGGGATATCTTTCTTCACCAACCATAAGCTTGTTTCTACCCTACACAAAGTTCTTGGAACTTCTTCAACTATTGCATGGTGTTGAAGTTTGAGGGTTTTAAATTATCAATCATGGTTTAATGACTGCATTATAAAATAAGGATTGAGCATTAAAACAATGCAAATTAAGAAGGTTATCAAGAAGGACCATGTAGCAGAACGTACAAGTTGGATCCAAGCTGAAATCTAATTAGTAGGTTGGTTTGATATAGCCAATCCAATACTCAAATGAATAACCCCTTGGCTCCACCACTTAAACGCATGTGTATGTTGGACTAAAAACACAAGAATCTTCAAAAGTAGATTGACCATCTTGAGACTTCGATCACTAAAAGCAAAGATCCCTTCAAGAACTCGAGTAATTTGCTAACTTCTATTAACTCTCTCACTGTAGAAGGGAATCTTAAGTAAAGTGCAGAATCCAAGTACTCCAAGCAACATTGTAAAAAGGGTTCCACACCGGTTTTACCATTTCATCTGGGGTTTTTTACCAGGGAGTTGGCATTTAACCTTTTCAAGCCCACTTGTACCATAACTATGAAGAGGTAGATGCTGCTAGAGCAAGGGAATTACCTATGCCCCGTCTCAACTTAGATTAAGGCTTACTTTTACAAACAGTGGATCTGCAGGAAGGCACCACAAAGTAAAGAGAAGCACCCAAAAGTGTCAAAAATGGAAATTGAAACCCGGGTCTCAGAGTTGTAAAAGGTGGGAAACTAAGAAGGGGAATTCCAGAGCTAGTTGTTTCCCACTTAAGTGGCTGTCAATCTTCCCTCTTCTCTAAAAGAATGCAAGTTACAAAAGTAAATGTACAAACCTAGTATTGGAGCCCATAATGTTCCTTCCTATAACCACAATCATGGTTACAACCCATCAGAGCAACTTCATAAAAGGAACATTTCATTCCATCCTCGCAAACTCTAGGTATGTTGAAGGCTAGGCAAGTATTACCATGCTATGAAGGACAAACATAAGGGGAATTCACTATAAATGGAAACTGCATCAGAAAAAGGGAACCTTCTTCCTACCCATTGCAGCTTGAGATGTTCCCACTAGAAAAGCGCGTGCCTTGTAGAAGTTATTGGCTTTTTCATTTAAAAAATGAAGAGATTCTCTAATGAGCAAAAGATAAGCAAAATAAAGTATATCGATATAAGTAGTAGTCCATTTATGATAAGTGAGTGAGTTGCTACAGCAGCAGCAGCTAACCTCAACCTCTCATCACCATCTTAACATGATCTCTTAGTCGGTCAACAACCTACTTTCGTTCCCTTTTCTTTGTACAATTTGTTTATACATTTCCCTTGAAAAATGAAGGACATGAAACACAACAGAGTTTCATTGCACCACCACTAATGGCCAGGCTTGGTCCTGTGTACCATAAGGTAAAAAGAAAATCAAGAAAATGGAGAAGGAATATAGCACATTCTAGTACATGGTTGTCTGTTGATGAAATGATGAACAATCAGAAAGAATTAAACTTGTCAAACATGAGGATTAAACAAACATTAAAAGGAAAGGAGGGAAAAGAAGAGAACATTCCTGTGCCAGATTCCCACTACGGTTTGTGGATCCCCGGTAAAAAAAAAGGAACCCTAATGGCCCGAGCTAGTCAGCAATGACTGCAATCCCCATTAAGTGAAAAGGGTTTCTGAATTGAAAGCTAGTGAAGTGTCAGAAATTGAAGTCATGGGCCTTCTGTTAATTGGGATTGTTGTTTTTACCTGTGATTTTTTTGTCAGATGAAAACTGGGGATCACATGAGAGTGAATCACGCCTGCCAAGAAACTATTCTTCAGAGTTGGGGAATTACTGTACAGTAGTAGTAATGTGAATCCCAGTTGCAATTGCAACATGAGGAAGTAGAGTGATGCCACGCCATTCCAATTTGGCGAGCTCCTATTTTTGTTTTCTTCCCTGAAATGGAAGTCACATGAGCAACACTACTAACTCGCTGATCGTTCGAATCCCACGCCTCTTTCCCGCAGATGAAGCGTCGTCGTGGAATTGTCGAAGAAACGTTGTTCTAGTACTAATAAACCACTAATCCGAACGTAAATATTCAGTTGGTAAGGCCAGGGTTTCGCCTCCCATGGAACGCTGTTAGGCGACTCGGATTATTTGGTTTGCTTGTAGCAGAAGTTCATATAAGTATTAAGTATATAATCTCTTTACCTTCACATTTCTCGCATTCTACAACACAACTTTGAGTAATCAAACATCTCATTTTTCTTTTGAGAAATATTCAAAAAAGAAACAACAATTCGAAGAAACATTTCGCCTTGTCTAAAACCCAACCAGTCATACTCATATCACAACAATAACTAGATGCAAAAATTATAGGACACAAATTCTAACAAAGATAAGGAATGACTTTACTCTATTGGCAGTCCAATTGACAACTCGAGGAATCTCACTAAAACTCTACAGCGTGGGGTATGGTCGAGATTAGCTTGAAACCATCACGCAGCACGAGTCCACCTAGAACTATACTAGAGCTTATGAATAACAACATATGAGTTGCCTTCTACCACCACTCTTGCAATCTGACGGGATATCGCATTTAAAATGGCGTCACGAGCTGGAAGAAGCTCCACAATATATGGGTCTGAAATTCCATAGTGGATGAACCTGAAGCCAAAAGAGTGGAACCGCTAGAATTTTGAATAACAACTCCAAAAGATGAAGGATCATGTTGAACTGGCGCATTAAAGTTAATCTTTGACACCAACCAGACCGTTGGGGAGATGAGAGATGAGCAACATGAGGAGGGAGAGGATCGAAGAAGGAAATTCTCAGACTTGAAAGTTAAACTGAGAAGAGAGGACCCGGACCTGAGGTTGGTAGCATTCAAAGACCCAGTGTTCTGATATTTTCAAATCCTCCAAAAAAACACATTGGAGAACTTGGAATTGCGATCAGATCAAATGAAACAACGTCACTAGAGGCTAAGAGTGGATTTTGGGGCTGATCATACTAGCTCTTCCATCCCACTAATGACCAAAGTTTGATCGCTAGGGGACATCTAAGAAAAGATGTTCAATGCTCTCGCGGTGCTTCCAGCAGACAGGAAAGCGGAAATGACCAAAGCTCTTCCTTTTATTTAGCTTACTATAGGTTTATACTACTCAGTTCAGTACTCACCGATTCAATTAACTAAAAGGTCTCTTTCTTTAGTTAACGGATATAGGTGTCATATACTGTAGCATCCCGAACTTTTTTTAATAAGATATTGTCCACTTTGGACCTAGACCCTCACAGGTTTGGCCTAGGGGTGCATGTCAAGGTGACTTCATATAAGGCCACTCATCCTTGCAGTGCTCCACAATGAGCAAATTTAACTTCAAAGTTCTTAGAAGAGCTCTTCCATTTCACCCCAAAACGAGTCTTCTCAGTTAAGATTGGTTTGTTACTTATGAACGATGGATCTCTCTCGTACTTTGTCGATGTGGGGATTTGCCGAAGGTGTTACATACCCCCATTGGGACTCAACGTCCTTGTTGAGGTTTGCCCTACCATCAATCAAGAAGAACACAAAGAGGATGTGATACCACTTATAACATCCCAAATCTTTTCCCCAGAAGATATTGCCCGCTTTGGGTCTAGACCCTCACGGTTTTGGCCTCGAGGTGCATCTCCAGGTGACTTCTTATAAGGTCTCTCATCCTCGCAGTGCTCCACAGTTAGCACGTTTAACTTTGGAGTTCTTACAAGAACTATTCCATTTCACCCCAAAACATATCTTGTCAGTTAAGGTCGGTTTCTTACATATGAACCATGGACCTTTCACGTGCTTTGTCGATGTGGGATTCGCCTAACGTGTAACATATACATTCATTCAGGACTAGAGGTTACTTATTTCATCGGCAAAAAAATATTCTAATAATAATAAAAAGAATCAGTCATTCTACTGTCCTCTAAAGTATTGGTGTTTCGATATATAAATTAAACTTGTACCATAACGTTAAAGATACATATTCAGTTTGTACCATAAAGAAGTTTGTACATTTATATTATGGTAAGTTTGTATCATTAATAAAAATACAAATTCAGTTTGTTTAACAAAAGAATTTGTAGGTACAAACTAAATTTATCATGAAGATATTTTTTAACTTAAAATTTCTCAATGTGTGTATTATATTACTTTATAATGTCTTCGTTATAATGTGTGGATCATACAGACGAATTATAAAAAATAATTGATTTGTCACATGTATTGCTCTTGCTCCTTCATTGGCAGGAGTGTTGCCTCTTTTTTATGAAACTTAACTGTAAACATCCTAGCCAGTTGAATTACGAACATCTATTCAAACCGAAGAAGGGAAGAGGTAACTTGCACAAGCAGGTGGGATACCCTAAAATTGTAGGCACCTTGTATACGTAGGCTTCATAAAGTCCAAGCAACACAGTCACACTTTTATCGCTATCTAGGCCAACAAATGGATTACCATCCAAAAAGAAATGAACTACGGTTTAACACACTAATTACATTATTCACCTATATATACCTACCAACCGTAAATTGGGTTCTCTACATGCGGGGGCAACAGCCTTAGATCCTTACAGTGCTGCTTATCGTAGTCTCTAGTCCCAGGTGTTGCGCCAGTACATAGTCTCAGGAACTCGTTCCCGGTGAGGCAGTAGTGCGCGAATGCCAGACCGCCGTCGAGCACCTCCGAGGCCTTGGGCACGGCTGGCATGGGTGGTCTCGTTGTGGCGGTGGCAGCTCCTCCGTCTTCTGTCAGAATCTTGTCGAGGTCGGAGTGTTGCATGAATCTCTGGGTGGCAGCCTCCCAAGAGAGGTTGTAGCTTTGCTCGGGAGTCAGAGGTTGAGGCTCTTTCTCCATTGCTTCCTTCACCTTTGCAACGAAGTCGTCGGATGTTTTGTACGTCAAGCAGTTCGGAAATGATCTGAAGAACTCGTTCGACGGGTGATCTGCGCATACTACGAATTTCCCCATTGCGAGTGCCTCGGCTGTAGCTGTGCAGAGCACGTCGCTGATGCTTGGGTTTATGAAGACTTTGTACCTTCAAATATGAAAAGAAAGAAAAGGATGAGTTCAGAACACTTTTTTTTTACTTCACTTTTACTGAAACTTAAAAATGTCATATCTGTAAATCAAAAGCTAAACCAAACAGACCTTGCAAGGCTCAGATAACAAGCTAAATGAGAAGATAAGAATGACTATTATGGTGAACGATAATATTCAGTTGTAAAAAGGAAGTGCTAACTAAGTTCACCAGTGGATTCGTGCTGCTTGCCTACAATTTGCCAACTCTTGGTCCATAGCAGCTGAAAGAAGGTTGTTATAAAGTACTTACCCGTGGAGAGAAGAGTCAGCATGATCGATTCCTTTGAGGAAATTGAGATTCAAGTTCAGTGATTTAGCGGCACTCTTAACTTCAAGTGCATCCTCGCCATTCCCATATACATCCACCTTAAAGCCATCAAGATCAGTCTGGTGTTTGGCCAGCAAATCTATCAACTCTCGGTATCCCTTAGCCCAGACCATCTTGCCTAAGAAGTAGGCTCCTTTAGAGAATGCATGCTGCCCAAGTTCTCTATCTGCAGCTACTTTCTCACCTATGCGCAAAAACTTTGGGTTGACACCATGTACATTGCACACTACTGACTTTGGCATATCTTGTGTTGCACCAGAAAGACGGAGAACCTGCATCATCAATACAAACAAACCTTTAGATAAGAACGCAAAAGGATAATGACAGTTAATTCACAGGGTTGGACACTTTACCTTATGGCAGTATGCTCGTGCAACCCAGTTGTTGATGTGTTTGACAAAGAAAGCTTGCAAAGCCCCATTCTTCTCTCTCTTAATGTATTCCAGGTAATTTGTGTGGACAATTCCAACAACATGATTGAACTTATCAGTCCAGCGCCTACCATGATGATACCAGTTCAAATGTTCAGGTTCTTCCAGAATAGCTATGTCAGCTTCCTTAGATGGTATAAACTGAGAAGTATCGCCCGCTGGGATTATGCTTCTTCTTTCCTTGGAGAACTATATAGGACACAGAGAATCAATATTTACATAACGTTTAATAGTTTTCAGTAACTCATAAAAACGAAGCAAACTACGTTTACTACAAGCTAGTAGGTAGTTACCTTTCCCGGGTAAAAGGATATTCTAAAATCAGCCTTAAACCCAATTCTTTCCTCTAGCCAGTTCCGAATGTAGCTCTCTTGCTCTTCTGGTGAACTAAATGTGAGGCTGTTGGGGTAAACAATTTCCTGATCTGACTTGCATAGCCATGGAACTAACAAGGTGACATTTCTTTTATCTGATTGTGCCAAATATGCTGCTCGGAAAAGTGGATTGACAGCTGTTCCAGTCATCCAAGGAAGACTAGCGGTTGTGACAATGGCAACATGCCGCCTCCCGTCCTCTGGGATATATTTGGCGTTGTCTGTCCAAAATCCACCTTCGTAATGATGACCTGTACTTTGAAGGACACTGGCGATTCTCACATCAAGCTCATCAGTATTGCCATTGTTGTCGTCCCCAACGAGAGAGGATTCTCCACTTGATAGTGAGTGCAGTAGAAGTTGGTTCTTGCGTTTACTACACAAGCTGTCCACTATCTTGTCACATATATCTGCCAATAATAGCATAAGATTATTTTTTGCATAACATGGCACAGAAGAACAGCCACATATGGTACACCAAGTTCCACAATAGTTTGATAACCCATAATGATTACTTGCCTCTTTTGACACCGATCTGATCCAAAAAGGGCCCAGATTGCTTCACCAAACTTGCCAAAAGTTCAGGTACATCAAGTGGTGGTACTTCCTACACGTAGCAACACCATAGAAACAGTCAGGTTTACACTTTCAGTTCCATTGAAGGATAAACACAGCTGCTAGTAACAGTAGAGACTAACACATTATAATAATAATAATAATAATAATAATAATAATAATAATAACAGTAGAGACTAACACCTAGAGAGGTCCAGAATCAGAATATATCATGCATAAAGGCATTAGAGCCATCACTTCAGGAGGCATGTGGCCAACAGAGCACATTTCAAGAGATTTTCGGAAAATGAATGGCTAGAACTTAATCTGGTCATGTTTTTGGACTGTACTCTATAATACAAAATGTAACAAGCCAATTCGACCTTAAGCGGCGCAAAATGTTCACTTGCTAATGAAAAATAAGGACTGGCTTCCCTTCCTTCTATTTTTTAAACGCGGAAGTGAAATTATTTTAAAGTCACGTCGTTTCAGTTTTTCAACAGAATGGGCAACCTAGCTCTTATCTGTTATTGACGATATCTAGTGGTTCTGCAGACAGATTGCTAGAAAAACAAATTACCATATGTGACAAGGAAGAATTTGGCAAGTCATCTGATGATGTCATAAAATCATAACACACTAATAAGAGATGGTCATCCTTAACGGATGAAAATGACTGTTGGTCCACACATTAAGGTGGAGTCTATAGACTAAGAATCAGATATCTAACCTGTGATTCTTGGGGATCCTTGCGAATTGATTTCTGCAAAATACATCACATACACTACATGAGAACTCAAACCATATATCATTCTGACAAAATAAGCACTTATTTCCAGCACAAAAGTAGGCAATTCGCAGAAGGATTCTTTTCGCTCTATTGAAGTGATTGTGCGCAAGGACGATATGAACAAAGAACTGCTTGAATGGGCGAGATCCCGAGTCTCTACTGCTAACAGTCGTTACCCAAACCCTCAGTTTACTTTGGAAAAAAAAAGTATATAAATAAAAGCTTGGAAGATTCAAATAAGCTAGTCTCTCTCATTAAGCTAGATAGGTTTTGAAAAGCCAACGCACAAAGTGCTTGATGTAAGCCGGCCAACGTCTGGTAGAGTAGGAATCTCGGTGTAATTATCAAGCTAATGCGTTGAAGATCAAACTATACAGAAACTGGGCAGCTACATCAATAGGTTATTGCGTATTGATTCAGAGATACTAGATTACTCGTCACTAAACAAGAGATAAAAGAATCCTTATAACAGCAAGAGCCTCTCAATCATATTTAGTTCCAGCTATTTCTGATTCTTAGAGAAGGCCTACAAGTGCCAACCTGCTTCAAATATTTCTAAAAGCTCTACCAACTAGTGGACAGAAATGGGCTCCTGAACTTCAAATACTTCTAAATAGCATCCTGCACCCTATCAAATTCATAAGAACTTATCCTAATAATTTCACACCAAAACAACCTGAGTTCCCCACGACAGCTATAACGAATTACCATAAGGGGAAGCAGCGAGATGGAAAAGCACATACCAGGCTGGATTTGACCTTCTCCACGAGCTCACTGTTCTTAAACCCCTCAAATATCTCACCCAACTCGCTTTTCTTCTCCAGCTCCTTAAACCGCTTCTTCAAATCTCGAATGGGCTTCCACTCTTCAGTCTGGTTCCCTTCGTTCTCCTCCTCATCTTTCCACTCGCCCCAGAACTCCTTGAACTTGAGCCTCCTCCTCCCTCTCCACACCCTATCGAACTCCACGCTTCCATTCCTGTCCCCATCATAATCGTACCCCTCGACCTCAGACACGAGAGCGTTCCTTATGCTTGACAAATCAATCGCCAATTTGGCCCTGGTAGGCCCCCACTTCTCGAGAACCTTCTTGCTGATCTCCGGCGCCGAGTACACCCTCCGGAACTCCGATATCTTCGGCTGCAATTTCTTGACGAAATTGTTCTCCGATGGCGGCGCGACGAGCGAGGTGGAGGCGGAATTGAAGAAGTTCTCGAGCTCGCGGTCGAAGGACGAGGCGAGGTTCTTGAACGAGTTGGCCCGGGCACGCATGAGCTGGAGATCCGCGTCGGCCGAGTCACGGACCTCCCGCCATCCCTTGGAGATGAAGGAGAAGGCGTCGCTGGACGACGACGATGACGGATGCGCCACTTGGTTGTTCATCGCCGGTGTGACGGAAATTTCGGGGGAATTCTCCGGTTCACTGAATTAGGGATTTGTTGGCTTTGCTTGGTGTAAGAACGGGACAAGTGAGGAAGGATAGAAGAAGAAGAGAAGGGGGTAAGGGGAATTCTGTTTTAACGGTCTTGATTTGCGAGCGTATTTGATCACTTCTCGGCAATCCACCACAAAGACGGACACGTAGGAGGGGCGGGACCCAGGGAGATTTTGGCGCGTGCTGACTTGGACCAGTCGGGTGAGAGGAACACGTGGGAAGCAGGGATTGGGCAGGAAGCTTCTCGTTGTCTCGTGGGTAATTATGAATATTCGCTATTGGGGGGTGCAATATGCTGCCGGGTCGGGCTGATGGATCAATGATCATGGATGGGTTCGGATCATTTGAGGAGATTTGGGTCGACGGTCGACGGGATAGGAGTGGGACACGTGGGGGCTCCGGGTTGGCTGGGGAACTTCGCTAGTCTCAACTGTAAATTCGAGAATGTATAAGTTGATGGTTGATGGAGAGCGTAAGTGGATGGATAAATTATTGTTTTGATAAAAAAGTAGTGGATTCAAATAGAGTAAAAAGTAAGTAATTATATTATTAGTTTTGTCACATCATTACGAAAAGTTGAGATATAACAATCACTCATTTGATTGATAGTTTCTATCACATCACAGAAACAATCTATGCATTGTTTCTGATAAAAAAAACAAAAAAAAAACGATCCATTCTAAACAAGAGCCCTTCTAGTGTGCTCTATAGCACCCATGCTATAAAAAACAAAAAAACAAAGGTGACTTGTTGAGAAGGTAAACCCACTAAATGACTGGTCCCACATCATTAATGGCAATCTTGTAAATAATGAATCAATGTATACAAGTGTAGGTACAAATTAGAGTTGTACCATATCGTATAGGTACAAGTTTCAGCTGTACCATTGAAGAATTTGTTTCACAAAGTGTAGGTACAACTTAAAGTTGTACCATTACTATAGGTACAATTTTGAGTTGTACCATAAAGGGATTTGTTAGAAAGTGTAGGTACAACTTAAAGTTGTACCATGGTATAGGTACAAGTTTGGGTTGTACCATAGAAGGATTTTTAGAAAGTGTAGGTACAACTTAAAGTTGTACCATGGTATAGGTACAAGTTTGGGTTGTACCATAGAAGGATTTTGAGAAAGTGTAGGTACAACTTAAGGTTGTACCATTAGTATAGGTACAATTTTGAGTTGTACCATAAAGAGATTTATTAGAAAGTGTAGGTACAATTTAAAGTTGTACCATTAGTATAGGTACAATTTTGAGTTGTACCATAAAAGGATTTGTTATAAAGTGTAGGTACAACTTTAAGTTGTACCATAGTATAGGTACAAGTTTGGATTGTACCATAAAAGAATTTTGAGAAAGTGTAGGTACAACTTAAGGTTGTACCATTAGTATAGGTACAATTTTTAGTTGTACCATAAAGGGATTTGTTAGAAAGTGTAGGTACAACTTAAAGTTGTACCATGGTATAGGTACAAGTTTGGGTTGTACCATAGAAAGATTTGGAGAAAGTGTAGGTACAACTAAAAGTTGTAACATTAGTATAGGTACAATTTTGAGTTGTACCATAAAGGGATTTATTAGAAAGTGTAGGTACAATTTGAAGTTGTACCATGATTTTGGGTTGTACCATAGAAGGATTTTTAGAAAGTGTAGGTACAAAATAAAGTTGTACCATTAGTATAGGTACAAGTTTGGGTTGTACCATAAAGGGATTTATTAGAAAGTGTAGGTACAAATTAAAGTTGTACCATGGTATAGGTACAAGTTTGGGTAGTACCATAAAAGAATTTTGAGAAAGTGTAGGTACAACTTAAGGTTGTACCATTAGTATAGGTACAATTTTTAGTTGTACCATAAAGGGATTTGTTAGAAAGTGTAGGTACAACTTAAAGTTGTACCATGGTATAGGTACAAGTTTGGGTTGTACCATAGAAAGATTTGGAGAAAGTGTAGGTACAACTAAAAGTTGTAACATTAGTATAGGTACAATTTTGAGTTGTACCATAAAGGGATTTATTAGAAAGTGTAGGTACAACTTGAAGTTGTACCATGATTTTGGGTTGTACCATAGAAGGATTTTTAGAAAGTGTAGGTACAAAATAAAGTTGTACCATTAGTATAGGTACAAGTTTGGGTTGTACCATAAAGGGATTTATTAGAAAGTGTAGGTACAAATTAAAGTTGTACCATGGTATAGGTACAAGTTTGGGTAGTACCATAAAAGAATTTTGAGAAAGTGTAGGTACAACTTAAGGTTGTACCATTAGTATAGGTACAATTTTTAGTTGTACCATAAAGGGATTTGTTAGAAAGTGTAGGTACAACATTAAGTTGTACCATAGTGTATAGGTACAATTGTGAATTGTACCATAGAAGATTTTTAGGAAAGTGTAGGTACAACTTTAAGTTTAGTGTAGTACAACTTAAGGTTGTACCATTAGTATAGGTACAATTTTTAGTTGTACCATAAAGGGATTTGTTAGAAAGTGTAGGTACAACATTAAGTTGTACCATAGTGTATAGGTACAATTGTGAATTGTACCATAGAAGATTTTTAGGAAAGTGTAGGTACAACTTTAAGTTTAGTGTAAAGGTACAACTCTAGAAAGTGTAGGTACATCTTCTAGGGCAAAAGCTAATGATCTATCTGGATCTTCTGTAGCTGTCCGTTCCTGTAGGGCAGCAGCAGGAAAATAATGGTGTGGAAGAAGGGTTTCATGGATGATACTATTTGGGAACAGAAGAATTCAGCTCGTGATGATGATGATGATGTACGTTCTAATTGAGGTTTCTGCATTTTATTTATTTCTCAATGTTATTGCTTCGACATATACAAGTATGTTTGTGATAATTAAGAAAATGACCTTTTCCTGCTTATGTACTAATTTGTATTTACTTTGTGTTTACTTTGTTTGCGGTACATGGATACAAAAGAATCAGAAGCAACTGATTGTTGCTTCTTCTATGGCACTGCCACACTGATACATTGAAAAAATTCAGCGCGGTAGCCTACTCTGGGTTCCAACAATGAAATGGAATCCCATGTCGTGACTTTACATGTCAAAATTCTAACTTCAGATATAACTCTCTGTGTACAATTGAGGACAACGGAAGCAAAGAATCAAGCAGCATCAGCTTTGGCCCACTTCCAGACGCTGACGACACCATTTGCGTCCCCTGTGAAAAACAAACCGTCAGGCCCACTTCGAATTGCTCTTACTTCCTTCTGTGAGTAAATCCTTCCACGCTCTTCGAGTGTTGGCAACTCGTATAACCAAATACTACAGTTGCTCCACGAACAGAACAAGACTGGTTTTCCTTCGGAATCATTCATCCCACCAAGAGCAACTGCAGCACTTTCCTCTTCATGTGTGTACAAAAGGCTTATATCATCACTGTCATCTTCAGCGCAACCCCAGAACTTGACCTTCTTATCCAGTGAGCAAGACACCAGGGCCGTATTCCAGCAGATAACAAACGTCACAGCACCATCGTGTGCCTTGAGTGTTTGAATGCACTCCTCGGTGTTCAAATCCCACACCTTGATTGTCCCATCCATCGAACCATAATACAATCTTGATCCAGTTCTTCGAAAACAAACTCCCTTCCGTCGTCTAAGTTCCTAATCTTGTACATGAAATCCACCTCCGAAGCACCATCTTCAAACGACTCCCGAGCTTCAGCTGACTAGCAAGAAGTAGACCGTGACAAAGTGTCAGACCAGAGGTCGGGTTCATCAGAACCAGAAGTTCTCAACACTGCGCTGCTATCATCCATCACTCTATCAACTCCCAATTCGATCTTCTCGGGACTTTCCTTCTCCAATTCCTTCACCGAACCCCGGTCGAAACTCGGATTCATCTATCCGAGGAACCTCCATCGCCGATCCTCTACGCTCTCCATATTCTTACCCCAAATCTCGAACTGAGAATTAGCGAAAACACCGTTGCCGTCGGAATCGGAAGCCCAATCGGAGATGGAAGAGACCTCTTCCCTAGTATCGAAGAATCCCTCCTCAGCACTGCAACTCTCCATCTACAGTGGGGAATTCCGACTCCCCCAAAGGAACCCTTAAGAATTCAGATCAAGTGATGTTGTTCCGCCTATGACATGCCGCATGCGAAGTCGGGAGCTCTGAGAGTCGAGAAACGGAACCCCCAATCTCTTTCTTCTCACAGTGTCGCCGTCACCATCGCCCCTTGATGCAGGTTCGTTGTCGCCGTCGCCCTAATTCAGATGCAGATTCGCCGTCGCCGCCAATCAATCCCGTCACTATCGACGAAGAGACGCTCTGAAATCCCACCGCGGAAGAGAGGCTCTGAAACTCGAGGAGGCTCTGGAACCGGTGCAACAGGTTACCATTCCAACGGGTAAAAAAATAATAATTAAATAACTTTAATCCAATGGCTGATATTTTATAACAAGATCTAAGGGCTATAGACATAGTAAAGCACTCATACTATATAGCATACTAAAAAGCCTCTCTAAACAATACATGTATAGTAACAATCGCAACTACCAAATGACCCCTAAGATTTCTTATCAGGTGTGATGCTGAATGTAAATATATCATAGGAGTTTGTGACGTGGGTGATGCATTGTGTTTCTTCTGCTTACTTTTAGTGTATATGTCCATGGTAGCTTGTTTGCTAATTTCAATGCAAACAAGGGTTGCGAAAGGGCGATCCTCTCTCATCTTAATTGTTTACAGTGCTTTGGAAATGTTTTCCATTATGTTAAATGATGTTGCTCAACAGGACCATTTGTCATATCATCCCCACAATGAAAATTAATAGGTCTTATATATTTATGTTTTGCAAATGACCTGTTAATTTTCACATCCGGATCAGTGTATGCTTTGTATTTATGTAATGACCTATTAATTTTCACATCATGATCTTTGGAATGAGTAAAAAGATATATAGTCGTTCAAAGGCCTTATAAATTGTCTGGTCTATGCTGCAATCCACATGAATGTGAGGTATTCTTTCATTCTTTGTAGGAATAATGAGGCAAGGGAGCAAAGCGACGGAAGTATAAAAACAAAACCCGGCATTTCTTGTCTTCAACATAATCGATCTACTCAAGAAGCATCATTACGAACTTTGATTTTTGCTAGAAGGCCAAAAACAAAGGATCTACCCAGCGCGCTTCTTTGAGCTAAATTAGTAGAACATATATATATATATATATATATATCGAGAGAGGAAAAGCTAATTAATTAATGTATAACTAGCCAGAATAGGGGGGAAGAAGAATAACAACAAAACAAAACTATATTGAGTTCTCTCTTTATCCGTAAATTGTTGAAACTGAGTTAAGTCCGTACGGATTTGTTTTTCATTATTTTTCTTAAAAGATCTCATACTAATGAATTTTATGACACTAATAATATAAGGATCTGTTAGAACAGAAGCGTGCCAATCGATAATCCAAACCAACATGAACGAACACGAATTTAACGTGGTTCACTAACACAATGTGTGCTAGCTAATCCACGGGCAGGGGATAACAAATTTCACTGATTTGAGGAGAGTACAGGTTACAAACCAAATTCAAGATGGACAGACCAAACAAACTAACCTGACTGACCTTACTACAAACTAGGGTGATGAAGAGTATTTATAGAACTCTTCTCATAATCCCAAACAGAAAACCAAATACCTTTTTCCCAAACATACAAGGAAAAGGCCAAAACAAAGTCCAAACACAAACCCAAACAAAATAGGCCTAAAACACAAAACGGACCCAAATCAAATTCAAGTCATATTCTAACAATCTCCACCTTGACTTGAATTCTCTCTCAAATACCAAATGTACCAGACACAACCAAAGTTGCCAGATGTACCCAAACGCGATACATATCGCTAGACGTACCCAAATGCGATCGAAACCGCCAAACTCAAACGCAATCAAGATTGCCAGACATATCCAAATGCGATTCATATCGCCAGACCAAACGCGATGCAAATCGCCAAACTCAGATGCAATCAAAATTGTCAGACGTACCAAACTTCTCCAAATCAGCTGTACCAGAATCTCCCCTGCCTCTAGATGCCCCTAAGGGCGATCAACAAATCAAAACATGCAGCAAGTCCAACCCATGTTGGGACTTGCCATGCATAACCAACTTGGTGTTATTTCCGTCCATAACACCAACATCAAATTTACAACTCTAACTTCAAACATGCAGCTCCAAATTGATTTTTCAATCTTCAAATTGATAGCAGCCATTCTTACTATCAAACAAACTCCAACCAAACTACAAGCTATTACCGAACACAATAAATTCAAGTAATTGCTTCCAAATTCCGATTGATCCGCCAACTAGCTCTCTCGTCGATTGCGCAGCCGATCAACTAGGAGCGCGATCCAAAATCCGCCAAGACAGTTTCAAATAACCCAAAGATCAACCAGGCTCTGATACCACTTGTTAGAACATAAGCGTGGCAATCGATAATCCAAACCAACACGAACGAACACGAATTTAACGTGGTTCACTAACACAATGTGTGCTAGCTAATCCACGGGCAGGGTAGAACAAATTTCACTGATTTGAGGAGAGTACAGGTTACAAACCAAATTCCAGATGGACAAACCAAACAAACTAACCTGACTGACCTTACTACAGACTAGGGTGATGAAGAGTATTTATAGAACTCTTCTCCTAATCCCAAACAGAAAACCAAATACCTTTTTCCCAAACATACAAGGAAAAGGCCAAAACAAAGTCCAAACACAAACCCAAACAAAATAAGACTAAAACACAAAACGGATCCAAATCAAATTCAAGTCATATTCTAACAGGATCCTATATGTTGCACTCTCAATATAGTATTTGGATATTGTCCCAACATAACAAATTCATCGACGACTAAGAGAGGCATCAAATTAGTCGTGGAAATTTGTAATTATGTGGTCTCATAATCAATATGAGCCACTTCTTTTCAACGTTGGGCGAATCTCTAGCCAGCAGATGCTCTCTCTCGTCTCTTCTTGTTTTGGTTTTAGTAGGTCGACCTGAGGTCGACGACTACAAACGCGTTGAAGGTAGCCATCGATTGCAGGGGGAGACAATTAACGAAACACAGAGAGAGCGCGAGCTAAGATGGGGATAGCTAGGTTTGTTTGAAACGTGAAGAAGAGAAGACAAATGCATGTTTCTTTGTTGTTTTTGTCTTTTGGCGGCCGGGGAAGTTGGCGCTACTTCCAGCTAGCCTTCCCTTGTCTTTTGTTACTTTTGAGGGGAGCTAATTAACGGCTGTCCGGTTCCGGTGGGTATTCCACGGATGTACATAATTGGACGACTCACGAGTGGCTGCTAATCACTGCTCGTTGCATGCTGCTGCTCCTCCGCCTGGCGATTGTTTTACCAATTCGCGATAGTATTCTCTTTACTAATAATCAAATCGAATAACACACACACATTGATATGCATGTATGGGCTGCGAGACCTGAACCCTTCTAAGAGACCCTACGGAATATGAACATGGTTTTTTAATCAGGTAAATTTGTATCCATGTTATCATTGGAGTTCGAACCTGGATCAATTAAACAACACATTGATATGCATGTATGGGCTGCGAGACCTGAACCCTTCTAAGAGACCCTACGGAATATGAACATGGTTTTTGAATCAGGTAAATTTGTATCCATGTTATCATTGGAGTTCGAACCTGGATCAATTAAACAAAGAAAGAGCATTATAACCAACTAGACTATATTTTATTTATTGTTATTTTTTTTATTAAATTCTAGGAATATGTTTTGTGATGATGCTTCTATATTTATATTTTATCTTTAAGTTATTTATATTTTATAGAATGAGATTAGTTCTGAAATCGGAACTCAAGTAGTATTGATGCAAACATTAATATTAAATTATATGTGTAGTTTAGTTTAGTTTAAACAAAATACATAAGTGTAACCAAAACATGGACCTTTGTAACGAGTATAACCATTTTTTTGTGACAAATCTATACATAATATAATGATAAAATTGAAAAATGAGAGTCTTCTTTTAAATTTCGTGGCCTGAGAGAGTGATTCTACGAACCTCTTTTTTTGTCATAGTGCCAAATTTATCTTTATATTATGTGTAGATTTGTCACAAAAAGTTACTATATATATCACGAAGACCCATGTTTTGGCTACACACATGTATTTTATCTAAACTGTACCACACATACAATTTAATATTTAATGTTTGAATCAATGTTCCTTGAGTTCCGATTTCACAATTAATCACTTCTATAAGATATAATAATTTCAGGTAAAATGCCTTTCTTACCTGGTTGAAGAAGCTTTTTCTATAAGATATATTCAATGTTTTAAGATTTTTCATTTCCAATTTCGTGAAACGAGAGTGAAAGTAGGAAGAGTATTTTTTTTCATCGCAATTACTTATCTACTTCCTATAAAAAAAAGTATCAACATCTAGATTTGAACCATGGTCTCTTTTAAAAAACAACAATCACAACCAATTACACTAAACAAATTTGTTTTTATCTTCTTGAATTGTAAGCATACACTTAGCGAAGATTTGAAAAGCATAGGAACTTTCCATCACGGTTAGCTAGCCTATTAAATATTCTAAAAAGCAAAGTTTAATACGTGATTTATAATTTTTTTTATAACCTATAAAATGACGGGTAATCTTAAAATTGCAACACAAATTTCAATGCTTGAAATATTGCATATCGAATTGCAGTATTGAATATGCAACAGAGATGTAGAATTCTTTAATTAATATAAATTTTCAGAACTACTACGAAGTAATAATATTTTGTACAAACTATAGGTGAATGGTTCTCTAAAATTTTAGCCTGGTTAATTGCTAAACATTAAACCTCTTGCTAATCTGGCATGAATGGATTCGACGATAATGAGACGATATTAGTTTTAATGTGATGTTCATTTTGCCATTTTTTAGTGTGTTGATCAATTTAAGGGCATTAACATATAAATGAGTTATAATTAACCTCATTATACAATTTTTACTCTTTATAATAATTAATTTAATCTTAATATTTGTGATGTTTAAAATATTTTATGTATGATTTAGAGATATACTTATTATTTGTGACATCAGTGGTAGTTGGTTCAAATGTAGTATTTTATCATGTAGTCAAAATCAAATACTGGGTGCATTTATGATTGTTTTTTTTTATCTTGGTGTTGTGAATAGGTAAAAACTTAATTATTAGAATGCATGTAACTATACGCAGACACATGATCGAGCTAGCATGACACAGTTAGAGCATACCATGAAGATAATGTATATGGACCGGCCCTATACAAGTATGAATGCTTCATGGGTGGTACCTGACTTAAACTTCAAGCGCTCGCGCACAAGTGCAAGCACCACAAAGTCTATATTGGTGCACTCATGTTTTATGGAGAAATGCGCCATTTGAGAGGAATAAGCGACCATTTGTTCGCCAGGTTTCAGGTCCTCTGATTCACACAATCGATTGTGAATGGAGAAGAAGCATTTCGAACTCAAAATTGGATAAGTAATTGAGATGTTTCTAGATTTCTCTCAATTACAGGCGATGATAAGAAAGTGGAATGAAAGTGGGAGAGTGGTGAGATACAAAGCTCAGAGAGAGAGAGATATGGAAGAACAAATGAAAAAACAAAGAGGATTATCGATGACCCGCTGGGCAAGTGTAGCCATCACTGTCTCATCTAGCCTAATCCACACCTCTGTTGATATGACCTCGAGGATCTAAGCCCTTGAGAATGATTAAGTTAGCGGTGAAAGGGTAATGCCTGCTGGCATCTCAAAGCAAACCTGTCCTTCACCGTTGGAGCTTCGCCGACTAGAGAAGGAGTTCGTCGGATCGATCTTCTCTCCCCCCGCTAGAGGAAGAAGAGGCGGACTGTAGCAGTTTCGTTAGATGGGAAGGTTGAGTTTGGGGGGGGGGGGTGGGAGAATAACGATGGGAGCTAGGGTTAGCAAAACGACGACGTTGGTCTAAGTGAACAAAAGGAGAGAAAAATGTGTCCGAGGGATTCGAACACTGGGCTCATTAAAAGGAATGGGGGCATAACCCAATGGGCAATAGGAGGAAATCCGTCTCTCATTTTCCAGCAAACGATGTTTTATTGTTTGCGCCCAACTGCCTCTTTTATTCCCCATGATTTTTTTCAACGATAATGAAATTGCAAGTGAACACATTTCTTACAATTTGTTTTTTTATTTTTGTTGTCACACCAGAAAACAGAAAACAAAGTGGCAAGTGAACGAGGCATAAGAGAGAGGGAGAGGACATATTTAAACGAGGGGGAAAATGAGGTAGTGTGAAATAATTTCCTTTATGCTTTGCTTAGTGGGTATTCTTGGCCCTGTTGAGTTTTGATTTATTTTAGGAGATGACATTATATTTGATAGATTTTCTCCTTTTCAATTAAGGGATCGTTTGAAAGTTGCGATTGTTTTGTTGATATTGTTACTATACATGTATTGTTTAGAATGCATCATTTTTTGTATTTTTTAGTAGAACCAATACATGGATTACATCTGTGATGTGACCGAAACTATCAATCAAAATGAGTGATTGTTATATCTCAACTTTTAGTTGTTATTGTTGAGATAGTTGAGTTGGGATTGTTTTGTCTCAGCTTTTAGCTTATGTGACATACACAATGCATCTAATCCGACCATACATATATAATATTATACATGCATTCACAACAAAATATATATTTAACAATCGCAACTTTCAAATGACCCCATAAAATCCTAAATCAGTATTATCATTTGGATGATTTTTTCCTTAATACGATTATGGTAATTTATGAGATTTAATTGTATTTGATCATGTCAATATTTTAGTGATTTTTTATTTAAAGTTTGAATTGAAAGATTGTACATACTGGCGGTTCGACCATAAAACTTCACACCATAGGCTAAATCGATAGGTGATATTTAGCAATATGTAGCAATATGAAACGGTTGAACCACAGTTAAATTATGATTTCAGTATAAAATACTCTGCTACCAAATTTTTTGATATTATTGTAATCATTTGGTTCAAACAATTCTTTTACACTGGTGGAAACAAAAGTTTTAAGGCACATTTTGAACTATCTATTGCAAAAAAGCATAAGTCAGTTAGCGATAATGAGAATATGTGATCTCATTCAACCCAAAACACATTGAAACTTCTACATTTTTAAAATAAATGTATGTTACATATACCCTTGCTCATTCATCAACTTAATGGGTACTATATATTTCATGTAATATGATTTTCATAGGTTTTTATTTATTGAATTATTTCATGAAAAAAAATATTTGCTGCATGAAAATTACTACATTGTTGTTAGACATGTCTGCGATCTGAGAATAATTTTTGAAATCCATACACAACACATTGTCCAACCAACTATTAGCGACAATTTAGCATCATGTCTTATATATTTCAAATAAAACAACTTCATATTCATTACCAATGGTGTGGTAAAAAAGAGTGCTCTCCATTGGAAAAAACTTAAAGGACATACTAAACTCTATGAGAGACATTTTCTTTCATCTTAAAGGTTGATTATGTATGTATTATGATAAACAACTCTAATATTCAACTATATGGTTTAATTAAGTAATGAATGACAATTAGTTATATTTATTTCTTTTTTCATTCAATAATTATAAGTAATGTTTATATTATATTTTTCTCTTTTCATGGAGGTCTAACACATTATGCATAGTTGGATCACTTTCAAAAATGTTAGGCCAAATTCACTTGAATAGCCAAAACTTTGACGGTTGTGACAAATATAGTCACTTTTGGCGAAATACCAGAAATAGCCAAAATTTTGAAAGTTCGATGACAAATATAGCCATTTCTGTTACATAGTTTGACGGCGTCAATGACACCGTTAGTCTATTTAACGGACAGATGAAGTGGCTGCCACCTCACCGTGTCTTTTCCTTCCCACCTCAGCATCTATTGATAGGTGGGATGCCACGTCATTTTTTATGGGTAAAAAAAAATTACCATAAATCTGTCATTTTATTCTTTAATTTCCCCAATTCAATCCCATTTAGGGTCTCCCAGCAGCCGCTCTTCTCGACGAACCAAGCTCCGCCGATTGAAGTAGCCCAGCCGCACTCGTCGACGAACACAGCTCTGCCGCACTCGACGTCCCCCGCTCCGCCACACTCGAAATCGACGACGTCCCCCGCTCCGCCACCTCCCTTTCCTTTCGCGCCGACCCAGCCTCTCCTTTTCAGCGAACGAAGACCCCCGATCCGCCGCCTCCCTTTCCTTTCGCGCCGACCCAGCCTCTCCTTTTCAGCGAACGAAGACCCCCGATCCGCCCCCTCCCTTTCCTTTCGTGGCGACCCAGCCTCTCTTTTTCAGCGAACGAAGACCCCCGCGACGACCCCTTCTCCTCGTCTTCACCGTTACTCGCCACCCACGACCGTCGCCGATCTGCGAAGACCCCTTCCCCTCGTTCCGCGGCGTCGTCGTCTTCGTCATGTATCACCGGGGTGGGTCGTCTTCCAGAAGCGAGAACAGCATTGGGGTAGTCTGTTGCTACCACAATGTTCCTGCTGTGACTAATAGATCCGGTACTGAGTCCAACTCAGGAAGGAGATTCTACGGATGCAAGTTTTGGATGGTAAAGGAGGTTGCGAGAATCTTCAGTTTCCATTTGTGTATGTTTGAGAGTTGACCATAGACTCTATTGATGCAGGAACCAAAAAAGAACTGCAAATTTTTTAGGTGGGTGGATGGGGAGGTGGATGAAGTCGATGCAAGGAACCCTGGCATAGACAGTCAAATTCTTAATCTACAAAAGAATTTACGGTTAGATGAGGCTAAGGCAGAGAGGAGGAAGAAGGAGAGAAAAATTGTCGTTCAAGAGCTGAGGAAGGTTAACAATGATGTTCGTGTCATTCGACATATGTTCGCCGTTGTTATTTTGTTGAATGTAGTGTTACTTGCCGTAGTGTTGGCCAATCGCAGCAGTATGATTTAGGATGATGTGTTCTAAGTTAGTGTTATGTATTGGTATGACAAGTAATGTGTTTCTCACAAGTAATGCAGTGTTTATGAATTGGCAAGTTAGTGCTATGAATTGAATTGGCAAGTTAGTGTTATGTATTGAATTGGCAACCAAAGGAGATACCATAAGAGATACCTTAACATTCATAACCTGATGCATCTGTTTAACAAGGCAGGACTTAACAACCAAAGTAGATACCATAAATTACATTACATCTACTAACATTCATACATCTGTTTAACAAGGCAGGACTTAACAACCATAGGAGATACCTTAACATTCATAACCTGATCCATTGTCTACCGTCCTAACATCCATCTACTAACATTCATAATTCCCATTACATCTACTGTTTGACATCCTAACATCCAGCTACTAAAACTACTCCGAAAGGTGGACATAGACCATGAGTCACATAGCAAAAAAAAGCTCCACCGAGTGCATCCATAACACGCATTATAAGCAAAAATGTGACTCATGGTGACTTTTGCATCTAAGGTTGTGTTGGAGGCGGCTGACTTCCTTGGGCATCCATCTCAGTTGGCTAAGTACCTCCAGCAGGACGACCCCGTGATCCATTCAACTGAAACAGATCATGAAGTTAGCAAAAACTCACAACAATGGGGTACCAACCATCATTCCAAAGAAAGAGCATAACTCAATCTTACCCTCACGTACTGATTCCCAGTTGCCTCACTTACATACACCCCTATCCCTCTTGTTGCAACTCGCATCTCACGATCAATCGTCCTTCGATCTCCCACATTCAACATAACATCCTAGAATTCAAATGACCACACAACATTCCACACAACATCTAATGACCACCTTTCAAAAAGAGGTACTTGTATTCGTTATTGTTTTCACGAAGGCTTACCTGTATTCCATTTCCTCGGTTGAGGGGGCAGGTTCTCGCATTATGGGTCGCTGATTGACACTTAGAGCAATGGAGAACTCGCTTCCTCCTTGTGTCGGGCACAGTTGGGGCAGCAGCGTTGTTTCTAGCTGGAACAGTTGGGGCAGCAGTGTTATTTCCAGCTGGAACAGTGGTGGCAGCACTGTTTCCTCCACCAGTAGTGGTATCACTATCCATCATGTACAACCTAATACCCTCTAGCATGTCGATTATTCTCAAGCCCCTATACTTCACAATTGTCCCATTAAACGTCTCACAGATATTGCTTTCAACACTATCACACTTAGACATTGTCGACATGAATGCTCGACAAAAGGAACGGGGTTCGGCAGCCATGAAATCAGTAAAGGGTGTGGATCCAAGTTCGGTACCTTCAATTGTCTCCATTTCCTTGGTGGCCTTCTTCCAATCATTCTCATTGCAAGCATAAACTGCCTTCCAGAACAGTTCACGAACCCGGTCAGTTTTGTTCTTTGCCTTCCAATTAGCATAAACATGGCGGGCACACTTGCGATGCTCTGCATCCGGTAACAGCTCATGAGTTGCTTCAATCAGGCCCTACAAGTACAAAGAAAACAGTTAAGGATGGACAGCAAGTTAAACAAAATAGGAAGTAGGTAAACAAAAAAGGGAACAAGTTGTTATGAGTCTAACCTTTTGTTGGTCCGATATGATTGTCCAGCCCCTACCATCTGTTAACCACAGCCCTTGAGAGAGAATGTTGACGAACCACCTCCAAGAGTTCGCATTCTCTCCCTCCACGACTGCCCAGGCGATTGGGTACATCTGATTATTTCCATCCTTCCCAACCGCTGAAAGAATCATGCCCTTTACCTCCTCCTTCAAGAAACAACCGTCAAAACCGATAATTGGGCGACATGCAAAAGAAAACCGTCTCGGATGTTTGAGAACATCACAAACATCCTTTGAAAGTAGACCTTTTCTTGTGTGGGATGCGGTTCAACCTCTAGATCGAACCGGCCTAACCTGTCTCGTTTCTTCAGCTCACCCAACTATGACTGTAGCCTCGTGTACTCATCTTTCAAAGAGCCACTAAGGAGTCGAATGGGTGCCACTTTCGCCCTGTAACATGTCCTTCTCTTAACCTCGATATTGTGCTTGAGTTTCACTTCGGCCATTATCTGCTCTGGGGCCCATTCAGGATTGATCCTGAACCTGTCTAGCATGTCCATCGCAATCCACTTCGCCGTAACTTGATTCACCCGAAGCTGTCTCGAACATGAATGTGGCAGCCCCACCTTTCTTACCATAAAAGTCTGGTTCTTCCTAAACCAGCTTGCATACACTTTCCATCTACAGCTCTCATTCTTACACTTCACTTCCCTCCTCGTAGGGTTAACCCTTGTCCACCTCAAACCTGCCCCATTTGCTACAGAATGCTTCACCACCGCAGTCTTAAACTTGTCATGATCCTTGAATCTCATGCGAGTGAAAAACTCGAAATTACCTTCACACTGAGGATCGTAGTGTGGTGCGTTGTCGAACACATCAGCACTAGCCTCATCAGATATATTACCTCGCACGTGGTCAGACTCCTCGGAAAGTCTGTAGCTCGAATGATTACTTGTCTCCTTACGTGCTTGCTCAGTTGGTGACACTTGTTGAGTTTCAGAAACTTCAACCTCCTCTTCATTCACATCAAACTCGGCTTCTTCAACCTCTTCCTCAAATTCCTCCTCATCAGATTCAACCTCTTCAAACTCGTCCAACTGTTCCACCTCCTCCCCATGACCATCAGCCCTCGTTCTCACAATTCTTTTCCTCATTTCTCCATATGCCCGAAGGTTGTTCCTTGCCTCATGGTACTCATCGTCGAAGGTGTCAGCATCATCGGAGTCGTAAACATGGATCATTGGTCGAGCCACAGAAGCAGCAACTGTTCCTTCGTCTGCTGATAGGTAATCAGCAGAATTCCCTTCTTTGTTTGGGTCATTCTCTTCCATTGAACTCACCATCTGTTAGAAGGAAAACACATTCAAATACTATTTTAATCACAATTACTATCATAATCACAATGTTAATGCGTTTTTAATCAGTAAACAACAAAGGAATCATAACCAACAAACATTATACTATCCTAGGGTTTTCCAAAGCCAATGACGATTCTGCCCAGTAGCTTTCCAGTTGCTTACCTTCGAATTCAAGGGCAAACTCGCGAAGAGAAGAATTCCAGTGGTCCCGAGTAGCCCCTTTGTGTCGCTTTCTGACTTTAATACCAGGCCCGAACTATAAAAGGAAGAAACCAAGCAAAATTTACAACACTGCACTTAAAATCCACCTCATCCATCTCATCGGAGCTCAGTGAATATAACTCGACACTTACTAGTCGACTGAAAGGAAGAAGCCCAGAAATCGTCCTTCGTCGAAAATCAAGATTCTTCAAGATTAGGTTTTGAACCGGCAAATTCATCTTGGGAATCTTCACCTTCAATGGTCGATTCCCCCTTACCAACAATGAATCGCGTCGCCGAAAAGTGGAGAGGATCTATGAAAGCCCGTGATGCATGGCCGATTCGATGGAGGGAGTCTCGGAAAGGATTTAGGGTTCGTGAATCGGAAAGAAGGAAAAGGGTTTTGCTTCTCGTGGTGGGTTCGTGGATTGGAAAGGCTTTCGTCGTCGTTGACGACTACCAACGCCGATCTGGAGAGGGGGAGCGTCGTAGTTCGTCGCCGGAGAAGATGGGCTTTCTCTGGATATCGAATCGGGGGAAGGGAAGGGGTAAATGAAAAAAGTTGGAGAGTGACTGAGGCGTAAAAGATGTATTTATTGTTTCGTTTTTTTTTTCTTTCCACGTGGAATTCATTTGTTTGACGAAAAAAGCCACGCCGGATGGTCCGTTTGTCCAGTCAGCACTCTAGCTAACACCGTCAAACAATTGGACGGAAGTGGCTATTTCTGGTATTTCTCCAAAAGTGGCTATATTTGGCAAAACATCAAAGTTTTGGCTATACAGGTGAATTTGGCCAAAATGTTATGTGCATAACTAAGTTAGAAAACAATCATTTTGTACATTTCAAATCCTTTATATATCATATTTCTCGACAAAATTCTTTCGCCGGGTCCTGTGCTAGTATAATATAAAGATAAAACATAAATCTAAAAGTATCCAAAATCCAAAAGCATTGTCCTCTTCATATCATCATTTCTCCACCATCAACGGCCTAAAATTACTAGGAATGGCAATGGGGTAGGTCCGGGCCAGGTATCTCGATACCCATACCCGCCCCGTGGCAGGTCGGGTAATTTATCATAGGGTGCGGGTCAGTGCAGGTCGACCTATGAGTATGTAATTTATGTGAAAACATTTAATATTCATTATTTTCATTAAAAGACTAAGAAATAAACCATATTATGATATATTGTAGTTATAAAGTATTGGAGAAATTGAGGTTTTCATTTATTTACAACTTTATTATAGCTAAATAATGAGGTAATATGAGGAAAATTCTAAGTAATTTGACTAAGATTACATGTAATTAAGGCAAGAACTGGTCGAGAATGGGGCGGGTCAGGGAAGGTCGGGTAGATGAGAGGTACCCATGCACGCCCCGCCCCAAAACAGGTCAAATAGGTCGGGTAAAACGGGTCAGGTCGAAATTGCCATCCCTAAAAATTACTATTTTTTGGGGCTCGGCCTCATCAAGTATTTTTACGAGTATTGTAAAATTATACCTTGGTCCAGAAAAGTAAGTGATAGAATATTTTAGGGTTAATTGCATGGTTGGTCACTGAGATTACAAAAAACGTTCAAGTTTGGTCACTCGAAATATTTAAATCCATTGGTGATACTTCAGTTTACTGAAACCGTTCACGTTTGGTCACTCTCCGTCCAACTCCGTTAACTTTTGCTTATGTGGCAGTCAATTTTAAAAGTTGACCGTTAAATGTGTGACGTGACAATTAAAAAATAATTAATTAAATAAAATTTATTTTTAAAAAAATTTCCAGCCCATATCTAAATATTAAAAAAATATAAAAAATATAAATTTGTGAAAATGGGTTCAACAGAAAATGGGTTCTCAAACCTTAACAATGGTGGAGAGAATTTGTGAGAGAGGTGAGGTGAGAGAGAAGGTGAGATCGATGAAGGGAGAGTGATTGTGTGGTCTTTGGCTGATGGTATAATGTAATCAACAGTGGAAGGTCGGTGATTGCCTCTGACGGTAGAGTTGAAGGTGGTTTTATACGCGTCAGAATTCACCCCTGAGAGCGGCGCTTCCAATTCGTCGGCGATGGCCAAGTATCTGGATCCCGATCTCGAATCCGGATCCTAATCCAAAGAAGAAGAAGGCTTGAGCGACATCGACGACGACGAGATCTCTGATTGCCTAAACGACAAGAGGCTAGTGGAACTGAAGGCGAAGGCTTGGAACCTGATGCATTGACAATAGACGAATAGAAAGCGAGACCTGGAAAACCTGCCGGCCGATGGCAGTAAGAAGGCCAAGACCGGTCCTTCCCCTGCTGCTTCCCGGAAGGAAAATGAGAAGAAGGCGGCGAAACCCACGCCGTCTTTGAGTTCGAAGATCAATTACGAAGCGGTGATCCGCAACATTTCGATCGAACTGGGGGAACTCGCTACAGCCTGCATCAGGGCAATCATCGACAGGCCGGAGCAGATCCGGAGCTCGATCACGTGGATTCGCTTCTCCCCGGCGACGTTCTCCATCAAGATCTGGATGGCGGCGAGCTGGGAGGCGGTGTAGAACGGGACTCTGGCCGGGAACTCCATCGCTCTCTTGTCCGGAGCGTCACCGTCATGTCGGATTCGAGCGGCTTCCGATGATTGTCGTGTTCCAACTCGCCGCCGCGGCGGGTTTTCTGGACCTCGATTCGGTGGCGGAGGGCGATGTAGAAGTAGTAGGCGATTCGCTGGATCGGGTTTCCGGTTTGGGAAGATAACCAGGTGCAGAGGTCGAGCACCTGGAGTGCGAGGTCGAATTTCCCCTTCCCGACGTACTCCGCGCACTCGAGGAGGTACTCCATGAGCTCCACGTTCTTTGATTCCTCATTGGTGAGTCCGGTGAGGAGGTGAGGGACGTCGATTCCTTGCGCCGGCGGAGAACAAGAGAGAGATTCCCCGTTGGTTCTTAATTTTAATAATTTATATTTTTTTATATTTAGAAATTAGGTGGAAAATTTTAAAAAAATAAATATCATTTATTTAATTATTTTTTAATTGCCACGTCACACATTTAACGGTCAACTTTTAGAGTTGACTGCCACATAAGCAAAAGTTAACAGAGTTGGACGGAGAGTGACCAAAAGTGAACGGTTTCAGTAAACTGAAGTACCACCAATGAATTTAAATATTTCGAGTGACCAAACTTGAACGTTTTTTGTAATCTCAGTGACCAACCATGCAATTAACCCAAATATTTTATGTTGAAACTGTATTTTAATAGTGGTTCAACCATTTCATACCACTAACTACCGCCTATCAATTTAGCATTCAATATGAAATTATTTTGTTATCGAACCGCACTATGGTACGATTTTTCAATCCCGGTTTTTTAGCTCATCGGTTCTTGACTTCTCGTAAGGCAAGTACCAACAAGTCAACAACCCTCTTTCTCATCGTTATTTGGACGGGGAGCAGCCGGTTCAATATGTATCATTTGGGCCTCTTGGCCCAGAAATTTGGGAAGTTGCCTCGTGTCCCCGCCGAGACCCGACGACGCCAAAGCCCATAGGCCATAGCCATAGCCCATAAGCAAAAAGTGAAAAGGCCGAAGAAGAAGAAAGAAACACAACACTCGTGACGCGTGCGAAGCGTGTCAGTCCCCAATTCAATCTCAAACTTGAAAACTCCTCTATTTCCCAATCCGCCATTACTTCCCCTTTCGCCCATTCTCGCTTTTCCTTAACCGCGAAGGTTTTGAAGAAGAAGGAGCGCCATCTCTCTCACCTGTCTTCATCATTCCCTTCGCTTTCAACTTCCCCACGGTCTCTGCAGTCCCAGAGAAGGAAAAAGGCCAAAATTCCAGGCAAAACGTTGGGAAGGCGGAAGAAGAAGGTGAAGGAAGAGATATGGGGCTGCTTTCCAACAGGTGAAATTCTCTCTTCTTCTTCTTCTTCCTTTGTTCGCTCTGATTCCTGTTTTTTTTTTTTTTTTTTCCTGGGTGATTCGTGTTGGAACTGGATATGCTATTTTGTTACTCAAACTCAGCAGATTTATGGCTTCAATAACAGGATCCCAAAGGACAGTTTGAAACCAGGGGATCACATTTACTCCTGGAGAGCTGCCTATGTTTACGCCCATCACGGTTCGCTTCTTCTTCCTTCCTTCCTCATTTCACTCTTTCTATTCTGCTGCTTACTAGAATTTTGGGGATTGGGGGAAGAGGGTTCATAAGGATCATTGATGGAAGTTGGCACATTTCCTTACCCATGGCTCTAACCCCTTGGTTTGCAGTTCATGGCTCTATTTTGTTTTTCGTGCTTCAGTGGATCTAAACCATTGGTCTGTGTACTGGTACTACACACTTATATCATTGTTTTTCACATAAGGTTGCATTGCCCAGACACCTGCTGTCCCACCCTTATGATCCAACATTCCTTCAGGGTTTGATTAGGTGAATGGTCCATTTGCAGTTCTGCTCTCAGTTTCTAGCCCTGTTAGGAGCTTAGGGCAAGTGTTCTACGCTTGTCTGTAACTCCGTCTCTGTGGTGTAGTTTAGTAGTTATCATTCTCATATTGGTTGTTTCTCCCCATCCCATCTATTATATATATGCTGCATTTAGGTTCTTCACTGTTCATTCTTGTCGCAATATCGACCCCCAAGATTTGGCTTAATTACTCGTAGGAATTGTCTGTCTAGTATTTCCAAGCTGTTTTGTGATATTAAGGTCTTTTACCTCCTGAATTGGAATCAGGTATCTACATTGGAGATGATAAAGTAGTACACTTCACCAGGCGTGGCCAAGAAGTTGGAACTGGAACCATACTTGACATCCTTCTGGTCAGCTCAACCCCCAAAAGACCTCTAGCCCCTTGCCCCACGTGCTCTTCACGTGAAGAAGCCGGTAACAACGGAGTTTTGCTCTCCTGCCTCGACTGCTTCCTCTCAGGCGGCATATTATACCGGTTTGAGTACAGCGTCAACCCTGCTCTCTTCCTTGCAAAAGCTCGTGGTGGAACTTGCACTCTCGCGGTTGCTGACCCAGACGATGTTGTGGTCCATCGTGCAAAGTTCCTTCTGGAGGAGAATGGGTTTGGATGCTACAATGTGTTCAAGAACAACTGTGAAGACTTCGCTATTTACTGCAAGACGGGTCTTCTAGTCATCAATCAGACCACAATGGGCCAGAGTGGTCAGGCTGTGTCGATTATAGGTGGCCCGCTTGCTGCGGTCTTGTCTACTCCTCTGCGTCTCGTCACCACAAATGTCTATGGTATGGCAGCAACGGCTGTGGGGGTTTATTGTGTCAGCAGGTATGCTGCTGATATCGGCAGGAGGACGGATGTAGTGAAGGTGGATGTTGAGGACTTGACAAGGAGGCTTGCTACTGGGCTCGTCCAGGTGATTGAACCGCAGATTGTGGCTGGACCACTGACTGAGAGTCAAGAAGCTTTGCAGATTTGCTCGTGAAATTGCGTTGGTCTTTCTCTTGTCTGTTTGAGGAAATAAAGATTGATTATGGAATTCTGAAGCTTGAATTAAACAGTGTGCGTGTGTGTGTGTGACTGTGCTGTGTAATTTTCTTCTGCAGCTGTACTGGACTCGTGCAGTCTAATATCAACTGTGTGGTGCCAACGTTTTATTTATTGGTAATCGTACTGTTTTGAGTTGTTTTTTATCTGGTAATGTGACAATGGAGTGTACGCGTTCTATGTTCACGTCTACGAGTTGTTGACATCGTAGTGGCGGAGACAAAAACACTAAACAGAAAGAGAATACAAGCACAGTCTGCACAGATATATATACAGTTAATTATCAACAAAACATTAACCACCTATTTAGTTAGTTATCAGTTAAACAGAAAACCATTTCAGCCTAATGATAACAGCACCTATATCTTATAATCAGTTATAATTAACCGTCGATAGATTATCAATGTAAAAATCACTCCAAGGGGGCGGGGGATACGGTCGCTTCCCCTATGGGGTTGTGAGATTCACAACCAAAGACATTTTAGGTATGACAAAAGAAATAATTTTTTTATATTAATTACAGATTGAGAATTAAGAACTCATATCAAATACATGTTTTTTAAATATAAATCCTACAATAAATATTACTCTCTCTCTCTCTTCCTTTTTTAGCAGCCACAACACTCCGACCGGCTGAGTTTGCGACCGACACACTTTCTCCGGCAAAATCCTTAAATAAGACTCGCTCCGGTCACCTGCAAAAAATTATCGCTCCATCAGTGCGCTAGTGGTACGCTACCGTTACCACTGGTACCACTACAAGTACAACGGTACCACTACCATCTGGTAGCTGGTAGTGGTACGCTACCACTACCAGGTACCAAAAGATAGTGGTACGATACCACTACCAGCTACAAGATTGTAGTGGTAGCGTACCACTCCATCTAGTACCACTATCAGGAAAAAAAACTACTAGAAAAAAACCAGATATGAAAAACAAAAACTCACAAATCTGAAAAACGAAGGGGAGGAGAGGAAGAGTATAGTGGTAGAGGGACTCACACCGCAAGAGACAGGGAGAGGAGGCACGACGGCGGCGGCATGGGGCGAGGGAGGCGGAGGATTGCGACGAGGACTGCATGGTGGTGGTGGTGGGAGGCGCGACAGGGGGTTGATTCTCTCGCTCTGAGACCTCTGTTTTCCCTGCTCCCCCGGTGAGCTCTTTGTGGTTCAAGCTTGTGATTGTGTCTTTTCGTCTCCTTTTCTTTCTTCTTCTCCTCTACCCTATAATTCGATCCATTCTGTTCCCCTCTTCTTTGTGTTTAACTGTTGGCGGTTTGACGAGATTGGCGAGTCATGGCTTCAGAAATAGAGAAAAGGTTAACTAACTTTCATCTATCGGAGGAAGAGGCAAATGTTGTCAGTGTGGAGGAAGATGATGTTGACATTAGAGTTGAAGAAGTGATCGAAGAATGGGGAGCGGTGGGTTATCTCCAAGGAGCTAAAACCCTGAGTGTCAAATTCTTGAAGACAGCTTTATGTGCAGCCTGGAAACCTAATAAAGAGTTTATTATCCATCTGGTGGGAGAGCATCTATTCGCCTTCCAGTTTTTCAGTAATGAAGACATGAAAGAGGCCCTTTATGGAGGACCATGGTGCTTTGATAACCATCTCATGGTGTTCAAACCAATTGAAAGAGACAAAGAAGCGGCGGAAATGGATTTCAGTGAAACGAAAATATGGGTTCGAATACGGAAGATCCCACTGAAGATGAGAACAGAGAAAATGGCGGAGAAGATTGGTATGATGTTTGGTTCCCTTACAATATTTGATACAGACAAATTTGGGTCGTGGAGCAGTTATATGAGGCTAAGAGTTACTATAAATGTGAACAAACCACTGCGAAGAGGAGTCCTGCTCGCTGATGGAAAAGAAAATGTCTGGTATAAGGCGGCATATGAGTAACTGCCCAACTTCTGTTACAACCGTGGGGTCCTTGGCCACTTGAAGAAAAACTTTGAAGAGGAGATTATCCCAGAAGAAGAATCCGAGTATGGGAATTGGTTGAGAGCACTGTCTCCAGTCAAGAAGATGGGTCCAAAAGGCAAAACGGGAGCTGAAAGATTAGTGTCATAGTGGACAAAGGCAAAGCAGAGGAAGGTCGGAGGAAATTCCGGCGAAGATGCAGTTAGAATGGAAGAGTCTCCGGTGACGGTTTGTTTTCCTTCTAGAACACCGCGTGTGAGATTGTTTTATTTAATTAAGGCGGGACCAAAAGATCGAGAAGCAGTTAATAATGAAAAGGGAAAAGAAAAACTAGGGAAACGAGAAGAAGCGCGTGGAAAGTTGCAGCAAGAAGAAATAAATATCATAGAAGATAGAGAAAATAGAAAGCAGACTGAAGAGGAAAAAAATAATAAAGAGGAAAGGGCGGACCCGTTAGATCGCGAATTCTCGGGCTTAGCCATAATGGGCCAGATTGCCCAATGTAGAGAGCAAGAAATAATCGTACAAGCCCTGGATACTGCGACTAAAGAAACACCAAAGGAAGACAAAAAAAAATGCCCAAAAACATGGACCAGACTTAGGTAACCAGTTCGTGGAGCGGGAGCGAGAGCGGGAGCGAGAGCGGGAGCGAGAGCGGGAGCGGGAGCGTGAGCGAGAGCGAGAGCGGGAGAGCGTCTATTTTTCAAGAACTCAATATAGAGAGCGTGAACAGATTTTAATATACTTAAGAAAAAATAAACTTAATATTATTAGTGAAAACAAAAATTGTCAAAAGCAATTCCATTATATATGACCTGTGTTGCTTCATCTTAAAGCAATTATCATGTTCTATAATAACCCAAACATCCCGAAGCCTACTAGATATACAAAGATACTTCTTAATATGCTTGCTAATTGCTATACAAAAGAGTTGACCACTATGTGCAAGCAATACCCTTTGGTCAACTATTACAAACCTTACTTTCTTATATCCTATGACAAGCCTACTAGATATACAAAGATAGTTCTTAATGTGCTTGCTAATTGCTATACAAAGGAGTTGACCACTACATGCAAGCAATACCCTTTAGTCAACTGTTACAAACCTTACAAATTAAACATGACATCACACATTTCTACTTCTTTTCGGTTCCCTTCCACTTTCTTGAGTAGCTTGAGGTGGAATGGGTACACTTGAAGTTGGAACAACCAAGTCTTCTTCATGACGCAAGGAAAAGTCTCTATCCTCGAGTTGTTGTGTGTCAAGGTCTATCATATCATCTTCCATATAAGAATCTCAATTCTTATAATTTTTCTCATAATCCTCCCTGTAACGTGTCAATAAACTGTTATTGTAGTGAGCATACACCAAGGATTCAGCACGATTAGCATTCAATCGATTCCTCTTCACAGTGTGGATGAAACTATATATGCTCCAAAGTCTTTCAGCACAAGAAGTATTAACACTCTGCGATAACACCCTTAAAGCCAAACTATATAATTCAGGAGCTGTTGCACCATGTAAGTTCCACCATTTGACAGCAGACAATATTTCTCTATCGGATATCGCTTGTGGACGAGCGAACATACCTAAATCAATAGCATTATAGTTACACTATAATCCATAAAATACATATAGCACAACTACACAAAGAAAAAAAATCATTAAAGCAAATTATGTTATCCGTGTCATGTACCAATAGGACTAGGTTATTATGAAATCATGTGAAGAGGGGATGAACTGATTAAGCAATGGAAATTAACACATGCATACACAGCTAGCTCACCAGTACCCAAAATCCACAACCATTAGATTTTGTTTTTAATTAATTGCAACAAAACCCCCCAATTCCCTCCTGTTTATTTAGCCTCTCCCCTCTTGTATATTTCATTCTGTACTCATTGTAGAAAGAGTAGTTTTGTTTCAACTTTATTAACCCATACTCCATTAACCCACACGCATATGTAAGTATTTTTTGTTTATTATATACACCCACTGTAACCAGTATCACACTATAAAGAATAAAATTAATGTTAGCTAGCTTAAGTAGTTTTCTCATAGATGAACATAAATGGGTCTTGGTTGCGGATGAATTAATTTGATGAGAATAGATACCTGTTTTGCAAACAAAGTCGCTAAGTTGAACTCGAGCTCTAGTTGCCTCAACCGAATTCCCAACTATACGATCTACCACATCAAGATATATCTTCTGAATTTCAGTATCAGCATGAGGTTTGATTCTCTTCTCTCTTTTTGGACTAGAACTCACCAACCATTTGTTAGAATAATAAAAAGGAGTAAGCACATAAGCCAACAAATGCAAAGGGACATTCATCTTTCTCCATCTCTCCATGACAAGAGCTTCAATGATATCCTTCAACTCCATATGGTCTACCAAAGCAAGTTGAATACAGTTCAACATGTCTTCCATTCTTTGATAAACTTCACCGATAATAGCTTTGTCAGAATTACAAAAGATAATCATTTTCCAAATGGGTCTTGTGAAACTAAGAACAAATTTCAGCTTCTCCCAAAAGTCACCATCTAAAATAGCATTCTTCACTTCTTCGTGACTTAAATTTGAAGAGGTTGTACCATGCTTCAAAGATTCCCACTCATCACTTAATACCATTGAAATCAAGTGATTTTTCAGCTTGGCTAAACGTTCTAACATAACATAATGATGACCGAATCTTGTCTTCTTAACTTGAATCACCTCGAGAGCAGAAAACTTTCTGAAAATATGCAACACCATGCTGTGGCTTCTTATGTACTTCACTATCCCTTTGACTTTCTTATAAAGAAATGCCACAAACCTCAAAGAAGGATAATGTGAAGATGTCACATATTTATCAAAAGGCTTAAGGTGTGAGCTAAACAACCTGACCATAAAATATGAGGATGTCTATCCATGATGATTTCTCCCGCACGTTTGCAAGCTGAAGCGTTATCTGTGAGCACTTGTACAACATTATATATTCCAACTTGCTCAATAGCTTTAAGCAAAATTCCAGCAATGTAAAGTCCTGTTTTTTCATCCCCGGAACAATCAACGCCTTCAAGAAATACAGCTCTACCCCCTGAAACAGCCAATACATTTATCAAAGACTCATTCTTCACATTACTCCAACCATCAGATACAATAGAAACACCAAATAAAGGCCATTGATCTCGAATGCCCGTTAAAGCACGATCCACTTTGGATTTCTCTTTATCAAGCAAGTTGGTTCTTATCTTTTCAGCACTTGGAGGCTTATAACCTCTCGGTCCTTCATTTATGCCTCTCGCCATTTCATAGAAAAATGGAGACCTTGCCACATTGAAAGGAATCCCACAACCAATGAAGAATCTTCCAACTAAACCATCAGTGTCATGCCTTGATACCAAATCAAACATATCAGTAATGATTTTGGAATCATTTTTTGTGACACCAATCTTGCTTATTGGAGGCACAATTTGAACTTCAGCACCTGAACCCTTCCGTGTGAATACTTTTTTTGCTTCTTCTTCTTGCCTCATCTTTTCTTGATCACTTTCTGTTACTTTGGAACACAATGCTATACCAGCCGCTTTCATTCCCAGACTCCTACCAAGAAAATGAGCTCGAATACGCGAGTAGGTTCCAGTATATGGATCAGCTCTACATCCAAGCTTACAAATCCACTTGTTGTTTTTCTTTTCCCCAAACATAACCACATTTTTTAAAGTGGAGTAGCTGTAAGTTGTGCTTGTACAACATCTTCCCCATCATTGATATCAGTTGGTATGGGGATCGAATCGGCTTTTGTCATCATAAACAACTTGTAAACAAATACTAACGAAATTAGTTTTGTATTACATATATTTCAAAATTCCTGCCAAAACATTTTTCTTCTGATTGAGAAAGAAACAAAGGTAAGAATACCAACCTGATTGTAGATCACCCTTCAAGCTGCCAGTGAAAAATCAAAGACAAAGCTCATCATTAACGCTCCTAATCTCTTCCCTCGTCAGAAAGTGGATTGTGCTTCTTGTTTTACAAACTCTCTTTTCACTTATGTTCTTCGTAAAGCTTTTTTTCTTTTCCTCGCGAAGTTATTTGTAAAGCTAATGAGAGAGAGATATATATAAAGTAGTTAGTTTTTTTAGTACTTTTTCACTAATTTTTTAATTGTTCTCATCTAACCATGGGTGGAGGATGGAATGGGGCATTGCTATCCACACAAAAAGAATTTATCTTCATTTTTTAGTTTAGATTTCAGATAAGCTTCTTATGGAAGTTGTCTGTTTATTATTATTTTAATTACATTTGTAAAAAGGTAAGTATTATGTATTATTTAATAGGAGAATTCAATGGAAGTGGGTTGGATGCGTGACTTTTGATAACCAATCCGGAGAATTCAATGCGGCGGAACCGCGTTCTTCTAATACACAATTCATGAATAAAAAAATGGTAAGTCACGTTTTTTCTTTCCTTAATTTCCGCTCCGAGAAAAGTAAAGTCGCGAATTTAATGCGAACTGAAATAAATTCGCGTTTAAGCGAATTGGAGCGGGAACGTTGGCCTTAATTACACGAATTAAGTTACATAAGACCAGACTCAAAAAAGAAGGGAGGGCATCGGAAGTTAGCAACTAGAGAGTAGTTCCTGGAGGGAAAAGAAGAAATGAAGATGATATGAGCATTGACTGCGGAGAAGAAAAAAGGGAACAGAAGTGAAAAGATGGTAAGAGAAATAGAAGAGACACAACCACTACTCCAGAAGAATTAGAGGCAGTCCTTGCCGAGTTGCAAGGCCGCCTACCACAATGAATCTCCTAAGTCTCAACTGTCAGGGGTTGGGGAATCCTCTAGCAGTTGCTTCCTTGAAATCGGTTGTCCGATTTTATAAACCCCAAATCGTGTTCTAGATGGAAACTCATTTATTGAATGACAGATGGGAAAAGGTGAAGAAAGACTGTGGTTTTGATTTTGGTGAAGGCGTTCCAGCTGAAGGAAACTCAGGAGGGCTCTGCTTGTTTTGGAATAATGAGATTACGATATCAATTAAAACAAGTGAGAGGAATTACATTGATGCTGATGTTCAAAAGGTAGAAGGAAGTAAGACTTGGAGGTTTACGGGAGTATATGGCTGGCCAGAGAAGGAAAATCATCAGCTGACATGGGAAATGCTAAGGAATCTACACAATGGAGGAGAGAAGCTTGGTTGTGCGCAGGTGAGTTCAACCAGATTTGTTCAAATGCTGAAAAGGCAGGTGGTCGGCTGGTTCAAGAAAGCATACTTATGGGATTCAATAATGCTTTGTCGGATTGTGGTCTTATTGATATGGGTTTCATTGGATAACCATTGACACGCTAAAACACAACACCTAACAATGGCCAAGTGTAACCAATGAAAGGGACTGCAGTATAGTGGCGCAAGTAATAAATATCGAATCCACGGGTCTCTAGAGATACTATTACTCAGCTTCAGTTCATTATCTAGCAAACTAGATTAAGGATTGATTTATAAACTACTCTACTGACTATTCTACTAATTACAAGTTGTGAACTCACTTAGGTATGATTCCCCCTAGCTCCTCAATTAGGTCCAAGTTGCAATTACCTTTGGTTGATCTACTGTTGATTAAACTGTGGAAGATCCTAAATTAGCTTGGAATCTCTTAAGCTGACCAAGCCCTCTCAGTCCAACTACCCGGCAGACGACTAGTCTTCACCAGGATAGAAAGCTGAGGCTATGAACATAGAACTCCACTACTGGAATGAATTCCAGTACAAAGCAGTGAATTGATTGACTCTCGCACAACCAATTCACCACTATCAATCAAGGAAGCTCTCTTAACCTAATCAGATTCTATCTATCATAGGTTAAAGCAGAAATCAAGAGAATTTGATCAAGATTCAATTGACTCAATAAATCATGTCTCATTCGATTATAATCAAACAATATAGCATCCAAAACTTCATACAAGAAAGATCCTAACACATGGAACTAGGGTTCCTCAAAACCTAAGTGAAGGGAAGTTACTCCATAGAGAAGAGAGAGACTGCAGAAATCTGATCTAGATGTTCAATCTCCATCTCCAAGCTTGATTCTCGAGCTCCAATGGCGAAGAAATCCTCCAAAATAGCTCCAAGAATGTTCCCAAGTCGCTCTCTCTCTAGGGTTCGTCCCTTGGGTGTTTGGGAACCAAAAACCCAGCTCTCCCCTTTCCTTTGGCTGAAAATCGAGTTTTAAACAGAAATTCCCGATCACGCGGCCAGGCCACATGGCCGTGTGGCTTTCCCAACTGCCCGTGTGAAGGCTCGGTGATTTCCACACGGCCACGACCCACACTGCCGTCTGGAGTTCCAGGATGCCCGTGTGGCTTGCTCAGCCTCTGTTTAATGCTTCGTTTCTCCCTCGTCCGGACTCCGAATCAGTCCCCGTTTGATCCCAGACGCTCGTAGTCTCGTCCTCTTTCTTTTCATGACAAGCTTGCATGATTATTTGTCCATAAAGTGAGGTATAAATCCATTCTTCTTCAGGTCATGCCCGAGTTTCTTCTCCCAAATCGTCAATTGATCTCTGATTGATTTGAAACTTGCGCCTATGCTTCACTTTATGTGCTAGGACCTGAAATGTGACAAAGGAACACAACCTAGCATAAAATAGGACAAAGACGCAATAATTCAAGCTCAAACAATCAAGAAACAAAGGGAAAAACATGTGCAAATACCGAGTCATCAACCATACACCTGGGATAATAGACGAAATGTGTCGGCTTTCATTGAGGAAAGGTTAGACCGGGCAGTGGCTAACAAGAAATGGTTGGACCTGTGCCCAAGGGCTTTAGTGATGCATCTGGATGAGGTGGATTTTGATCACCTTCCTATTCTTATTGATTTCAAAGGGGAGAAGGAGATCAAGATAAAGTGGGGAAAAATTTTTCGATTTGAATTTTTTTGGGCGAAAGAAGAAGAAAGCAGTGTTATTGTGAGTGTAGTTTGGGAACAGGCGGGAGTTGATAGTTTGGAAAATGGCTTGAAGCAGTGTGAAGAAAGACTTACTAGTTGGAGTTCGGAGAAGTTTGGAGAAATCCCAAAGAAAATCGCCCAGGTTCGAAAGAGAATTAAAGAAATGAAGTCCCAAGTGAAGGATTCTACTTGGAGATCCAGGAAGAGAAAATTGGAGATTGAGCTCCAGGACATGCTATACAAAAATGAGCAGCGGTGGAAACAACGATCTCGAATGGAATGGTTAAAGGAGGGCGAAAAGAATACGAAGGCTTTCCATGCCAAGGCTTCTGAGCGAAGAAAGAAGAATACAATCCGAAAGTTAAAAGATGAAAGTGGAAGAATTTATAGGGGCCAAGAATAATTAAGTGATTGTCTTACTACCTACTATGCAGATCTGTTTAAAAGCAAGAGTGGGAATGTGAACTGGGAATCCTTGAAGCAGTAGAGAAGAAAGTAACGGATGAAATGAACCAAAAATTGCTTAGCCCTTTTACGGCTGAAGAAATCCAATGATCCCTTTTTCAACTGGGTGCCACGAAAGCTCCCGGCGTTGATGGCTTTCCTCCCCTGTTCTTTCAGAAGAATTGGAGCACTCTGGCCCCTCGGGTGACTGCTGAACTGACGAGTTTTCTCCACAATGGCAGCTTTCCGGAAAGTCTTAACAGAACCTTGATTGCTCTGGTACCTAAAGTAAAAACCCATGCCTCTCCTAAGGATTACATACCTATAATTCTATGCACAATTCTATAAAAAATTCTCTAAAAAACAATTGCAAATCGGTTAAAAGGAATTCTAGATGATCTGATATGTGAATCGCAGAGCGCTTTTGTCCCCGGAAGGTCGATCATTGACAATGTTATTGTCGCCTTTGAATGCTTCTATACCATGAAGAAGAAGACTAAAGGTGAAAAAGGCTTCTTAGCTCTAAAACTCGACATGGCGAAAGCCTACGATCGAGTCGAATGGAGTTTTCATGAAAGAATTATGAGAAAGATGGGATTTGATGAGAAGTGGATTAACTTGATTATGGCATGTGTTTCCTCTGTCATATGCAGTTTTGGTGAATGGACATAAGTCAGATTTCTTCAAGTATGGGAGGGGTCTGCGACAGGGAGATCCACTCTCTCCTTACCTCTTTTAGCTATGCTCAGAAGGCATGTCTTCCCATGGTGAATAAGTATGGAAAAGAAGGAAAGATCCATGGGATTAATATTTGCAATAAGGCTCATGTTATATCCCACTTGCTTTTTGTCGATGACTGTGTGCTTTTTGCTAGGGCAAATATCTAGGAAGCAAGGATGCTTAAGGAAATTCTGAAGCAATATGAGCTCGAATCGGGTCAAATGGTGAACCTTGGTAAATTAGAAATTTACTAAAGCAGCAACATCAAAGGTGAGAAAAGGGAGGAAATCTGCTTAGAGATGGGAATAAAGGAGGTTGGCCAAGTATTTGGGTTTGCCAACAATGGTGGGGAGATCTACGAAAGTGGTCTTTCATAATCTACAAGAACGAGTAAGGAGCAAACTGACTAATTGGAAAAGCAAGTATTATAGTGATGTTGGAAAAGAAATCCTGATTAAGAGTATTGCTCAGGCACA